GACCTGCCTTGCTTGTATCAGCACCGGCGGTATTGCCACATGCTTGTAGCATTGAACCCGCCGCCTCGCATTCCCAACTGAGAAACTGCATTTCTCCCCAATCGTACGACCATGCGCCTGGTCTTATCCAGCCGGCCCTGCATCGCTGACTATCCGTAGCATCTGTGCGTTTCAGCACGGGACTCTTCGAACACGGCGTGGTTAATGGGGTGGGAGGCACAGCAGGGAAATAACGGGCTATGGTTTTTTTAACACCGGGCGAAGGGAAAAAAAGACTCTTGGAACTCCACCACGTCGGTTTCAGGAACGCAAAGTCAAGTCTTTTTTAGGATGCACAGCTCGGCTGCATGCCCCGGCCTACTGCATACTGGCAAAAACACCCGAGTGAACGCGGAAAGAGGAAATTCTGCCTCTGTGCGAGCGTCTCGGATTCGTCGTCATTGCCGAATCTGGTTGGGCTTCGGCGGTTTGCTGTAAAGTCCCCTTTCACCATCATGTTAGTGTTGTTCAGTTGTCACCATCAGATTATTGCAACGGAGCACAGCAGACGATTTGACATCAAATCATGGCTATGAATTTTTTTTATAATGTGTACACACAAGTAAAGAGTAAAAAAAGATGTATTGGGTGTAAGAAAAAAGACTCGCAACCGCTCTCCAGGTCTCCGCAAAGCAAAGCAAAGTAAAGTTTGCTGCTTTCGCCCTTCTTCCCAAGATTTGAGTTCGCCGCGGTTTTGTGTGTCTCTGTGCGCTCACTCAACAAAGAGGATTGTACTCGTAGAGACTTTGAATTAGGAGGGAAAACCACAATCTTTTTGACGATTACCACGTGAAAAAAAGGGAAGAATTGGCTCAGAGCGTTCGTCTACCGTCAGCTAGCAAAGAAGCTGAAACTTCTCTCAATTCTAAGAAGATCCTCTTCATGGCATGACCTCAGGCTGGAAGTCGGCACCGGGCACGACGTAGCGCTTGGCCCATCGAAGGGATCCGCTCTCCTCACGCTTGGCGGCTCTGCCACGCTTGCCAGCCCGGCCCTTGCCGCGTGCACGTCCGTTGCCGCCGGCGTTTCCGGCATTGCCGGCGTTACCGCCGTTGTTTCCAGTGTTTGCGTTACCGTTGCCAGCGTTACCGTTGCCAGCGTTGGCGTTGCCGGCGTTGGGGTCAGCGGCAGGGGGAGCAGCAGCGGTGTTGCCTCCGCTCTGGCTGGGGCCGGTGTTCTCGACGGGGAACTCCTTGACGGTGACGGGGGGAGCGCCCAAGACCTTATTGGCGGCGTCAGTGGCGGCCAGCTGCTCGGGGGTTCCGTCCTTTTGGTTGGCGGCAGCGGCGGCGGGGAAGTCCTGAATATCCTGCTGAACCTGCGAGAGAACACCCTTCAACTTGGCAGCGGTCTGAATGTTCTGGGGAGTGTTCTGAGTAGGAGTGACATCGGTCTGCTGGACGGGGAAGCAGCCACCGAATGGTCCGGCGACGGCGTTGTTACGGCAGCGGACAGTGCAGACGTTTCCGGTAGAGGCTGTGAAAGTCATATTAGGTTTGATATCAGGTTGGCGATTCGGCGTGTTCAACTAACCTCCAGTGCACTTCATGTCAGCGGGCATCTTGACAGTGACGTTGAACTGCTGAGCCTTTGCCTGGGAGAAACCGTTGGTGCCGGGAACGTTGTTGGTGACCTCGAGAGGAATCTGGCCGGTGCCGGCGAGCGAGTTGCTCGTCTGATCCAAATCACATGAGAAGGGACCAGCACCATCGGCGTTGACCTGGTGGATAGTGACTGTGACCGTGCCGCCCGCCTTAACCTGCGTGACCTGGTTCGCTGCCAGGGCGTTTTCGGTATTCTCGCCAATGTCGATGTTGCCAGCAATCTCGGTGCGTCCGCACTCGTTGACGACGTTGTTGTTGATCTCGGCATCACGAATGATCGTGGCGTCCTGCTGGCAGGGGTTGATCGTCGTGCAGTTACGGGCAATGTTCGGGTCGACTGAATATTAGGGTTAGTATCAAAGATCGTGACATCCTCTTCCCGCTCGTTCCCCTTTTGCGCAAAACATACCCAGGAACCCGACACTAGCAGGTGAGCCGGCGTCTCCCTGAGCACCGAGAATGGCAGCGTGGCCATGGGCAACGGCCAGGAAGGCCGAGCCGATTACAATATCCGTGAAAGAAAGCATCTTGTCTCGCAGAGACTAAGTCGGAATGTGCCAGCACGATTAAAGGAACGAAGTGAAGGGAGAAGTGAAAAGAGAAGGAAAAACGGAAAAGCCCGGTGAAAGAGCGTAGGCGCAGAGGAGGATGATATGATGTGTGGGTAGAGAGAAGGGGAAGGGAAACTTAAACACGAGACGAGGCCGTGAAAAGGTCGTCTTATACGAAGGCTCGCGGTCGAGGACCGAAACGACGCAAACACTGCCAAACGTCGACCAGCCCATGATGTACGCTGATCTGCTCAGATCATCTGCAACACCTCTTGTCGCAAGGCTGTGGTGCTGGGCGGAGTCGCGACCTAACCCTGAACCCGACGTATCTTGGCAGATGGAGGGTAGGGGACTGAAGGGGGTGGTGGTGGTGTGTGGTAGGGGGAGAAAGGGACGAGCCATGGAACCTTGGGGGGGTCAGGACCTCACTCGAGGTTGAAGTGGATGAGAGTGGCCACCAGTATGGGCAGTAATAGCATGGCCAACATGGTCCATGTTGCGGTGCAGTTCGCGTTGGTTCGAGACCTGGTCAAGCGGCTGGTAGCGAGGCGGTTGGAGGAGGAGGCTCACATGGGGGCACGATGGGGCAGAAGTTCAGTGACAGTGGATCTGAAGGAGGGTTTTGGCTCATGATCCCTGTTGATTGACGGACATAGTGACGGCGAGTCAACCGCTAGTTTTCATAAACGGCGACTAGCCGTGTTTGGCAGGGCCGAGACAGATGGAAAGAAAAAGGTCGGACGATTACGCGCTGGGGGGGCGCTGTTCTGAAGAGGCGAGCGTGTTTCATAGAGCATTAGGAGATTCCATAGTAAGCAATTCTGACAACGGCAGCGGACTGCAGACTTCCTAGTCGAACAGTGTCGACGGAGTGGAGGGCGGGAAGCCTGGCGAGAGTTGAAAGGTTGCGGTTTGCTCGCTGAACTCTGGACGCTTTGAGCAACGATTTCGCATACGGGCCCTGTTTTCTCCCGGGGGTCAGCGCTGTCCCATTCGTCTGTTTCCCAGGATAGTCCCATCTCTTCTCGGCCCAAAGGGGGTCACAGACTCGACGAGGTGATACAGACGCCAAGAACAAAAGCACCAAAGCGCGCATACGACAGCCAGAAGCGGTACCGCGGCGAGACGGGCGAGGTGAGCCGGCTCTCACGCTCTCACACACTCTCATCACTCTCATTCTCTGGAGTCTCCCAGTCTCGCTCTTGTTTTCTCTCTTCGCCTCCTTACCCCCCTCCCCTACCCTCACCCTTCTCCTTTCGTCCCATTCCTGAGGCCTTGACGTTGACAGGCGCAAGCGTGGGCTCTTCCCGACGCGGGTAGGAAGCAGAGAACGTGGGAACTCGTCTGGTGTATTGCCCCCATCCTGAGACTCGCGCTCGGAGACCGGCCGAAGGCTGGTCGCCATTGTAGCCCAAAAGGAGCCACGGACGCGCGACGGGACGGGTAATCCGTCAGATCCAACCCAGATCGTGGCGTCCACGCTAGTCCGACGGACGAGAAGATGGGGGAACAATTTGTTCAGCTGAGCCTCATTTTCGCTTGGTCCATGGTGATCAGCGCTACTGATAGGTAAGACGAGCGAAGTTCGGGAGATCAACTTCGACTCGACTTGCTTGGTATGTAGCCAAGACCACTTAGCTCCAGTAAAGAGCGTGGAGAGAGAGTTGGAGTGCAGTGCATCGAGCAGAGGAGCCCTACCGATAGTGAACTCTGTTCTTGGTGAGTCTGGGGAGCAATCTATCTTCTCCCACCGGCATCCCCGTATGCCAGTTAAGGTACAATTTAGCGGACGGGTACCTGAAGGCTTGCGAGCGTACCTTGCATGGCACGCATGGGAAGTGTGGGAAGGGGACATGGAAAACTCCGTACACTGCATTTCTCTCGCGTGCTTCGGGGTGCCGCACCGGCAAGCAGCGCGCTCTTCTGTCCGCCAGTCCAAGTCCAGAACTTTTCTCCTGCTCTCACGCTCTGTGTCTCTTCTCTTCCGGCGAGCGGTTCCGCGTAGATTGCCAACCGCTGGCACCATTACCCTAAAAATTCTCCGTAACGGAAAGGAGACGCGCGAGATCCACAAGATTGCTGCAAGGAGTCGTCCCATCCCTGCTGGCGCCTGGGATCTTAAGACCAGGATCTACCCTTCACGTTTCACCCCTGGCCCACATCTGGAAGCCAAGAGCAGGTGTCATTCGATCACCAGCAGCCTCAAGTGGGTGGGCTGCGTCGAGCGTGAAGGGAGGAGACTGGTCACTGGAGGTGGAGGGGGGGATGGACTCAAAAGAAGGGACGTTTCGAGACGAATCTGAAGCAACGACATCGAGCCATGAGAGAGTAAAAGGGGATAGCTCGGCATTTTACTCTGAGCCTGTTCTGTGTCGTCACTCGTCACTCGCCAACCCTCTGGCTTCTGATATCCACAACCTCTGGTCTCGCGACCGGGCCCCTAGCCTCCGGGGGGTGAAATAAATCATAATGGGATTTCAGATGGGATTAATCTCGCCTCGCGCTGCCCTCCGCAACCGTAAAACCTTAGTGCTCGTCTCTGGTCTCTCAAATAGCCCGTGTTTGCCCATATTACTAACCTATTACCTGCAATGTCCGCCGCCCCTCCGCCGCCTCCCGCCAGGAACAACTCCTGTTCGACCCGCCTGCAACCTTATGCGACTAGTCAATAATTGATAATGTTAAACGGTGGCATCCTCGGCGGGAAGCGATGCATCAACCACGCAGATTACCTTTTTTTACTTGCATGCAACAGCCCCGATGTAATCGTTGTCGCATCAACCTCATCAGTGTTTGACAGTTTTCATTACGAGACTCCCTTGTTCTTGTCCTTCTCCTTCCAGGCTTGGTCAGCGTCGGGATGAACCGACGGGCTCGCAATATGCTTCCGAGCCTCCTCTTTTTGCTTATAATCTGAGTTGAACCTTTTGTCTCGGTCGCCAACGTACTTGGCAAAGTCCAATTGGCCGGTCTGGGTGAAGCTTGTCATGAGTTGCGGTTCGCCCAAGGGCAGCTGATGGCCTTTGTCGACCTGCCAGAGGTGGAACACTTTTCCATAGAGCTGGACGACTTGCTCCATCTCCTTATTCTCTGCCGCTTGCCAAGCCAAGTCCGGTAGCTTTCCCTGTGGCATGATGAGCATGCCTGACTTGACCTCATACACATGACTGTGCCAGAGCTTTCGCTCCTCCGAGTCCAAGGTTTCGTAGAGCTTTGGTGTGATCATGTACTCGATGCCAATGATGCGTGCATTCTTCGCGGGGCTATCGTAGAGTATGCATTGACGGACATCTTCGTTCAAGTGCCCGCAGTAATGATTTGCCTCCACCACGCGTGTGGGATCAGAGGCATATGCGTGAAAGGCGTTGAGGTGAGCGCAGACATTGCTTAATGGTGCGAAGTCCTATCTCGGTGTCAGAGATCGTGATACAATGTTGGTAATTCGTCAGAGAGGAAGAACGTACCTGCACTACTGAAGCACCAGCACTAAGCACTTGGTTCTCGGCGCTGATGGGATCTCCGGCATTTGCGTCCGGCTTGGTAGCCATGGTGGTCGATAAGCGAGATTGCAGTGATGCTCTGAGCAGACACCTGCTCGATTCGTTCAAGACGTGGGTACTTGGGCTTGACGTTTGAAGATGGGATGAGAGTTGGTTGCTTAGTTCGAAAACTTGTTGATGGTATCGTGCTTTTTTTCCTTCACTCCTTCGTGAAGGTTGGGGGGGATTTGCTCGCTTTGACAAAGCCCGATGATTCCCCTCCTGACGTCATCAATGCGGTTCCCGCACTCTTCGGCCGCGATTTCATCATGATTGCAGCATCGAAGAATCAGATGGAAACACCAACGGCAGCTCGGGAAGGGAGAACCTGCGAGGGCGGGTAGCTGCACAGGCGAGGAGGGGGAAAGAGGAGGGCGGAGCATCGTCTCCTGCCCGTTCTCCTCGGCGTTCATCTGCGGCAGACGGAGGTCGCCCCGCTTTCCCGGAGCAGTTCCCCGGCGCGGGTCTTCCCGCCTTAGCCTTGGCGTGTACTGCCGGACTCCGATCGGCCGGCGCCGAGGAGGGGCAGGGTGTGTCGGCCGGTAGAGCGGAACAATGCCCTGTGCTCGGATTCGCGTCGGTGATCGACCGTTCCGTCTCACGTCGCAGTGAATCATCTCCACCAAAAGTTTGAAACGAATACTGGCCTGACTGGACTTTGAAATGGTACGAGGGAACCGCGTAAGCGCCGGTTTGCGCAATCGTCGTTTCGAAAAGCTAGAGATTGTAACCAGATAAGATAGTGTGCTTGTCGCAGCTTTAAATGGAATTTGCATTCTTCCGAATGTGATTTGCTTTGCTTTTCTTTCGTACGGCAAACGACCATATGTGTCATTTACTAAGGTAGTAGTAGATCTTGTGATCTAGCAAGACAAGGTAAAATCAGTGTCATCTCAAATCACAATTCAATCATTTGGGAAATTGCCATGCACAAAGTAATAGACTACAGGCAGTCATTCTAGATGTTTGCAAAAACGATCAACAGTTCAATTTAAACAGATTCCATAGTGCATTGGTACTTTGTAACCTTCCCGCAGAGACATCCACCCACACTGCTTGAGAGCCTATCAAGCAGGCTGCCCTCCAGCAAGTTTTTGACATCATACCTTCTGCCTTGGCCTTCGAAAGACTAGACGCAGAAGATGCAGCCACAGCTAAAGTCGAAGCTACAGTCGCGCTTATGGACATCGGGATACGCGGCTACGATGGCGTCGACATAGTCCTTGCTGAGTTTGATTGAAGTCGTCTGACCTTCGGGGTTGGGCGCAGCTAGGGCAAGAGCCGCCAAAGCAACGGCGACGGTGGCGATGAGCTTCATTTCGGATGGGGCTGAGCAGTTGCGTGTAGCTGAACTTGTTAGAATAGCTCAAGTCTCAAAGGAATTGTTTGAGATGCACACAACTCGATATCGAAAGGACATACATCAGTGAAGTGTGATGAACACTGGCACTCAGTGTACTAGATTATTTCAAGATGATGGTGGTCAGAGAGGGTTGAGTTATGCTTTCGAAAACGACGAACCTGCACCTCTTTATACCCAACTGTATTGATACTGCTCTTGCTCTAGGCCATTTGTGTCATTTCTACGAGGGAGGTCTCACAATCCCGGCTACGAGGTACTTCATTCTCATTTCTGCCGGTCAATTATGTGCACATTTGAATCCTTCAAACAAACAAGATTCCACGAATCTGGAGACTCGCATTATGCCGCTAGGACGCGCCTTCTCTGAGGACTAGCTGCGGTCGTGTGGTCATCACCTTCGATGATACATGATACTTGATGAATATGGTCACTTAAGTTTCGACGGTACCTAGGTTGAGGTGATCAAGGCATCGGGAAATCTTTCAACATAGGCTCTAAGTCATCACTTCGACAGTGCCTTTTCAACCGACATCTTATAGGCTCGTACGTCCTAATGCAGTAAGCCTGCATGAAGCCCGCTTACCCATACCACCCCGTGAGCCGCCAAGACTATCACAGGAACTTTATGGAAGGATTAAGGAGAATATTGGCTGCTTATTCGTGGGATTGTGAAAGTGATAGTGCCGTAGGATCTGATGTTGCGACGACTTTATGATTGATCCTAAAGCCGTTCGGTAAACATTCTGTAATTAGTGAGGTACATCTCGGTCAACGAGTGAGGAGGACCGCAGTTCCCCATTGTTGATATTCGAAGGATTCGACGAGACATCATATTTTCATGCGAGGTCTGTTGATGGAAGCCAACGGGTCAGGCCGGATTTTTCTGTGCTTTGCCGTCTCTCAAAGTCTCTCGGTATTATGTGCAATTATTACCAAGGTAACATGAACAATTATCTCAACTCCACAAGCCCTGAAGATACTAATGTGACCACGACACTTCTGTGGCCCGAGAATGGGAACATACTGTTCCTTGTGATTGTATATGAGAATCTTCGGGGGCTCGGTGGTTAAAAAATCTGGTGTGCCGAGGAACAGTCCATTCCCACAACAGCTTGCACGATCAAGGCAGTGTTCACAAGCCGCTACTTCACTCGGCGAAGCCTGCAATGCCAATTATAAATCTGATTTCTTCTCACAGTATTATGTATAAATTCTATGTACACACGGTAGTAGACTGCAAACAGGTTGTAGTAATCCTATCACTCGATCTTGTGCGCCTATGGGTGCCATCACCCTGTTATCTGCGAGATACCTTAATTACCTTTAGTGTTGACAAGTGGATCGGCGATGTGCCTCAACATCTTCACACCCCATGATCTCAGACATCTTGAGTGATACACTTGTATTAACTAATGCTGCTATGCATGTTCAGTATGTAGAGCTGACGCATAAAGTAGGTGGGTGAGTGGAAGGCTTGAGCTCTTTTGGATTTCAACAGGCGACGCATTCGAGAACCGAAGGCAAGGCTTCAACACAAAAGCGCATGTTGTTCCCACCCTATTGGATACATATACCTCCATATACATAGGCAAAGTTATGAGAGGCATTTGCTGACGCCAAATTGAGATACTCCATGCGTTCCAATCGAGATAGAACTACTCAAGTATCAATTAATAAGTACCAACTGAACTCGTCATATTCCTCTGTGTAAGTTTAGACCATCTCGCACCAGAAGCAGATTTTCTGCCGGCAGAGCTCAACGTTCTTACTTTTGGCTCCTCTCACCGCACCATTTACCAGCTCATCATTGATTCGCGGCGGGACTTGTGATAGCGCACTCAGCTATGATCTACTTTTTGAATAATACTTTTGTTTACGAAGCTGAAAGTTAGGTGCTCTATTACCGGCCCTCTGTACGAACATCAGCCGTTGGCGCTCTCCTCGTCAGGTGTTGCCAATAGCCCTTTGATACATGACTCGCCAACCCTGACTCTCCGCATCGACAATTTCTGAGCTGTGGCCCACGCTCGTGAATTCTTTATCTCAATGATCCCCCAAGATAAGGCCCCTTTCTTGACAGAGAACAAAAAGAAACCATCATATGGATATAGAGTTCAGCTGGGAAGTTTGCAGCGTGGGCATCGGAAATCTTTCCGACCATCCGCAGCCACTCAGCATATCAGGGTTGTCAGCCCCCTCGTGCCCTGGGAAATGTCTCGCAAACCCCTCATCTCCGCCCCGGTGCCATTTATGACATTTATGACATGCTCAATTCACCGTCCGCCCTAGGCTTATCCTGCGGAGGTCTCCACCCCGCAGATAAACCACCGAACAACACCGCGTACGTGAGACGTCAGTCGCTCGCCAACAGAGTCATTTCGAACGACTCAAGCCCTGCCATCAGGTCTTCCAGAAGGTCTCGCACCCCCCTCTTTCTGGATTCGTCCGCCTGCAGAGAGGGTGTGGTCGATCTACACAGATGAAAGGAAACAAACCGTTGGCAGCCGGATGAAGTGAGTCGCCCCAACGTCGCGGGCCCCTTTTTTGCAGACGCGAGAAAGGAAAGGGTAAGCTTACTTACTCGGCGCTGCGCGTGGCCGAGAAGAGAACCCAACTTTGAGATCCGACAAACATCCCCCCCCCAGTGCCTCGAGCAGGTCCCTTCCCAACACGGCCATGTCCCAGAAACCAACAAGCTTCGCTTGTGACCGGTGCAGGGCGGGGAAGCGAAAAGTAGGTCGTCCGCGCGCGAAGAAGAACTTTCCCAAAGTTTTGCTCCATTTCTAGACTCCATTCTAGACCCCACGGGGAAGGACCAACTTCCCCGAACTCCCTTGCTAGTCTCCTAGTCCTTTCGTGAACTGCCGTGACTAACGACTTTCTCCCGTCGGCAGTGCGATGCTGCCCGTCCTGCATGCTCCTTGTGCAGCAGGCAGAACAGGGAATGTGTTTACACTGAGCAACGCCCCAGAAAGTGTGTCACCTACTAGTTACCTTACTTATGGTTCACGTCAACTATAAGCAATGCTAAGTAGCCACCGAACTATGTCGCTAACGTAATCATCCAGGCGGAAATACTGGGATGAGGACTACGTCAGAGCCCTCGAGGCTCAAGTACAATCGCTGCTCTTGGCCCTAGAGAAGCAAAGCGTTGAGAAAGAGCCCTCCCCGGCACTGTCTCTGAGTGATCGCGCATCTCAGTCTGCAGAGCCCGATGCAACCCTCCGAGAAAGTCTCGATGGAGGTGACGCCACCGAAGGTCTCGCAGTCGGCGGGGACGACGAGGAGACCAAGGACGTTGTCTCTATAGAAGACCATGGAGGCAGTGCGAGTAAGGACTCAGGGACACAGGAGAGGTCTCAGATGGCAATGGAAGAGTTGTGTGTAATGCTTTGGAGAACGAATGTCGGTGATGGGGTAACCATCATCGACGACCCTGCCACTGGGTCTCACTATGCAGTCGATCCCGTACGGCCAGCTGTACCCATGGCCCATCAAGTCATCCCTCCAGAACAGGTGCTCGTTTACTGTCGACAAAAGGGCCTCATCCACGAGATGGCGGATCTGTTCTTGGATAACATCAACCAAGAACATCAGTTCACGCCGTACAAGACAACCGACTTCCTGCACAACTACCCTTACCAAACCCCAGATGAAGCCTTCTTACACAGTGCCATCATCGCTACAGGCACAACCTTTACACGACGACCAGATGCTACCCTCATAGGAGATGCATTCGCGCAGTTCGCAGAAAGCCTCATCTTCACCTGCTGCCGGCAGAATCCCACACTCAAGGTCATCCAGGGGCTGTCAATGATGTCGTGGCGCTCATTGGCTATGGGGAGAGACCACTTTGGCTGGATGTTCATCTCCATGGCCGCCGGCATGTGCGTACATCTGAGACTGCACGTCTTGGCGCTAGACGAGTGCGAAGCCAGGCAGCTGGAGGCTACGGAGCAGGAGATTCGCACTTTTTGGATGTTTTACATCATTGACCGGACAGCCATCTCGATTCTAGGCCGTAACTGCGCATTACCGTGGCGGAGAGTAAACGTACCGGACTTTGAGATGACCTTTGAGAACTCTAAGGCGGGCCTAGGTCAAGTATCTTTTGCATGGCAGTGCAAGTTGTGGTATCTGCATGACCAGTACATGGACCAGGTGTAAGTCCTGCTTCCCCGTCTCCCACACAGATTTCAGAAGATGGACTTTCGTGAGTAACACCGATCTCAGCTTCTCAACAAATTTCGAATCTCTACCCATACCGCAACAAGTCCGCATCCTCGTAGCAAGCCAGGACGCACTCAGCGCCTTCTTCCGCTCCCGCGATGATAGGCTCCATCTGTCGGGGGACTCAACCCCGAAACCAGTTATCCAATTCCACCTAGCCTACCAAATGACAATCCTCATCACCATGCCCCCGTTCCTCCGCATTTTTGCCGCAATCTCACAAACCTCAGAGACAACCGAGCCCGGGAACACTGCGAACAACAGCAGCAGCAAGAGACAAAACTCGGAATTCATGCTTCTCGTCCTCCGCTCTCTCACCGCAGCAGCAACAGCGACTTCCCGACTCGTTCGGACCTACCGCCGCGCCCACGGCTTCGACATCTCCCCGAACCCGGTCATCATCCACCACCTCCTCAGCGCCGCCATCGTGCACCTAATGAACGCGACCAGCTGGACGCCGGCGCTGCGGCACCAGAGCACCTACTGGCTCCGGCAGTGTCTTGAGCTCCTGCGCGAGCTTCAGGTCTCGTGGCCTGTCCGTGCCGTCAAGAGTATCAAGATCATTCGTGTGCTCGCGCAGCGGTGGGGGGTGATGAGGGCTCTGCCCATCGAGTTCAGTTACCAGATCGAGCAGTCTGCGGCTACAGCGCCCGATGCTCAGAGTGACTTGGGCGCGAATATTACGCAGTCCAGGAGTAGGGACATGGGCGAGGCGGACCTGAGTG